AACCTACATCCCACATAAAGGATTTTTTCTGTACTACTACCCCCAAGTTGATTTCAGGTTAGATTTTAAACCTACATCCCACATAAAGGATTTTTTCTGTACTACTACCCCCAAGTTGATTTCAGGTTAGATTTTAAACCCACATCCCACATAAAGGATTCTTTCTGTACAACTACCCCCAAGTTGATTTCAAGTTAGTTTTTAAACCCACATCCCACATGCAGGATTTTTTCTGTACAACTACCCCCAAGTTGATTTCAGGTTAGTTTTTAAACCTACATCCCACATAAAGGAACTAACCTGAAATCAACTTGGGGTAGTAGTACAGAAAAAACTTGATGTAATGCTGTTACCCACTTCCTACCCTACAAATCTTGATAAATCTTATTGTTTGTTTATAACAGAAGGGGACACAGATAAATGTTTCAGAATTCTACAGATTCCATCTTCAGTATCTAAACCAAAATAAATGAATTACATCATTCCTAAGTAACATTGCTGCAATAACGATACATTAATCAAAACTAAAACACTTAGAAAATGAAGGAGTAACAAACAAAAATACTCTACATATTAAAAAATGTGCAATTTAAATGAAGACTGCATGTTATTTAGTGTTGGTGAAAGTTGTTTGATGTGGAGAGTTTCTTTAATCAGTAAGTTCAGATCATTGTTGGCCTTGCGAAGGATATTGAAATTTGATGGATTAGGTTCATCTCCTGTTTCTTCACTATGTTGCTGTATAGAGGAAACACGTGGTTTACTCAACGTTTTTGTGTTTTCATGGAAATTTCCACATGTTCATTGGCTCTAGACAATAGATGGTGTTTGGTTTTTGCCAATATAGGAGGCCTTACAGTCTCCACACGTGTATATACATAGAAGCCAAGAACAAAGAGAAATTGGGAGAAAGTCTTTAGTACAGAAAAAAATCCTTTATGTGGGATGTGGGTTTAAAAACTAACCTGAAATCAACTTATCGGTAGTTGTACAGAAACAATCCTGCATGTGGGATGTGGGTTTAAAAACTAACCTGAAATCAACTTGGGATAGTAGTACAGAAACAATCCTGCATGTGGGATGTGGGTTTAAAATTGTTTGTTTTAGTATAATAATACTTGATGTAATGCTGTTACCCACTTCCTTCCCTACAAATCTTGATCAATCTTGTTGTTTGTTTCAGTATAATAATACTTGATGTAATGCTGTTACCCGCTTCCTACCCTACAAATCTTGATCAATCTTGTTGTTTGTTTTAGTATAATAATAACTTCCTTCCCTACAAATCTTGATCAATCCGTAATGCTGTTACCCGTCAAGTGTTATTATACTGAAACAAACAACAAGATTGATCAAGATTTGTAGGGAAGGAAGTGGGTAACAGCATTACGTCAAGTGTTATTATACTTCATTTGACATAACTGACTCAAGAGGATTTCAAAAGTGAAACCTCTGAATCTATACAACAGTAAATTCTTTGTTCATTATAGTTTACTGTCTTACTTCATAAAATATCTTTTGTAGTAGAAATATCTCCATTCTAAGTCAAATCAGATTGGGTTTAAGTATATTAAATCATCAAATGAACGTTTCATCTAAATACTTACAACAGGTTGAAGAAATTTCAGTAAACGAAGGTTGACACTTTCTGTAAGAGATATGTTGATTTTGTTAGGTAGAACCATCACAGTTGACAGTTGATCAACAATAACTGTACGCAAGATGTCACTGGAAGAGGGTTGAACATATATTTAAGCATCAAAAAAGAAATACTTTTCAACATTTTAATTTATTACTCTGAACATTTTTCTGTGTATTATCAATTTCTTTGCTAACACTAAAAATAAACAAACAGCTTTGCTGTTTGATAAATTTCATGTGTGGTGTAATAAGTAAGCTAACTATAATGGGTTTCTAAAAAAATATCATATACTTATGCAGAAATGACAGTAGATCAGTAAATGTAAATTACAAAAGAAAAAATCTAAATTATAATCCACGATAATCAAACAAAGAGTGCAGAGACTCACCTCAGACCAGGTATATCGAAAATGTTTGCCAAACTGGTCAGGTTGAAATCAATTGTCTGTTCAAAACATATTTATTTAAGTGGTGAAAACGAAAAGAAAATCATAAGACTGAAATTTAATACATAACATCATGTTGGAAAAGAAGTGCTAACAAGTAACTTAAATTTTTCACTTGTAACTAATACAGAATGATAAAAACAAACTTACAGAATAATAATAATAGTGTACATAAAAGGAAGAGTGCATAGTTTAGAACTGAAAACCACTTTAAAAACACGGTAGGTTGAATGAAGCACAAGGTTTACTCTCACATGCTCTGTGCTTCTTCTTGTTTTACAACAGTGTAAGCAACAACAAGAGAAAAATAAATGTAGTACTAGCGTAATGTATAAAACTTCTTTTAGTAAAGATTTATCGTGTGACCTGTCAAAAATAATAGCAGTTTTTCCCATTTGGGAGAAGAATTTATGAGTTAAATTTATGAAGTTGATGCATAACAATGCGATTACTGTTTAAGCTGTAAAGATAACAGTACTGACTTTATAGAGGTAATACTAATTAACAGTACTGACTTTATAGAGATAATACTAATTAACAGTACTGACTTTATAGAGATAATACTAATTAACAGTACTGACTTTATAGAGGTAATACTAATTAACAGTACTGACTTTATAGAGGTAATACTAATTAACAGTACTGACTTTATAGAGATAATACTAATTAACAGTACTGACTTTATAGAGGTAATACTAATTAACAGTACTGACTTTATAGAGATAATACTAATTAACAGTACTGACTTTATAGAGGTAATACTAATTAATGCTTTGTGAAGAGACTTTACAGATGACAAAAATCCAACACTTGTATCACAAAGTTTAAAATTATATTTTATAAAGTACTTTCTTATTCCTGTTACTTATGTAGCAGTTAAAACAGACAGAAAATTTGAAAAACAAAATAAAGTTTACAAAGAGCAAGTAAGTTTTAAATTAAAAGCAGTTTATTATTTTCAATACCTATAATAACACACTCATAATTAACACTCATAATTAATATATATATGATACTGCATACAAAGACAGAATGGTGAAAAAATGTATACTGTTCAGTAAAAGTAAATAAAGTTTGGAGAAAGGTTTCATGAGATGATCTGCTTAATGATGATTTTTTCAGTGTACTTTACATGAATTTTGATCAGATCCTTAATCCTTCAGATCAGATTTTAATGAAGACTGATCAATATTAATATTAATCAGATCCTAATGAAGACTAATTAAACTGAATTTTTATCAGATCCTAATGAACGCCGATCAATGTGAATCTTTATCAGATCCTAATGAAGTCTGAACAGTGTGAATCTATGAGATCCTAATGAAGACTGAACAATGTTAATCTTTATCAAATTCTAATGAAGAGTAATCAAGTGTATATATATCAGATCCTAATGAAGACTGAACAATGTTAATCTTTATCAAATTCTAATGAAGAGTAATCAAGTGTATATATATCAGATCCTAATGAAGACTGACCGATGTGAATCTATCAGATCCTAATGAAGACTGACCAATGTGAATCTTTATCAGATCCTAATGAAGACTGATCAAGTGTATATATATCAGATCCTAATGAAGACTGAACAGTGTGAATCTATCAGATCCTAATGAAGACTGACCAATGTGAATTTTTATCAGATCCTAATGAAGACTGACCAATGTGAATCTTTATCAGATCCTAATGAAGAGTAATCAAGTGTATATATATATCAGATCCTAATGAAGACTGACCGATGTGAATCTATCAGATCCTAATGAAGACTGAACAATGTGAATTTTCATCAGATCCTAATGAAGACTGAACAGTGTGAATCTATCAGATCTTAATGAAGACTGAACAGTGTGAATCTTTATCAGATCTTAATGAAGACTGAATAGTGTGAATCTTTATCAGGTCTTAATGAAGACTGAACAGTGTGAATCTATCAGATCTTAATGAAGACTGAACAATGTGAATCTTTATCAGATCCTAATGAAGACTGAACAGTGTGAATCTGTCAGATCTTAATGAACACTGAACAATGTGAATCTATCAGATCCTAATGAAGACTGAACAGTGTGAATCTATCTGATCTTAATGAAGACTGACCGATGTGAATCTTTATCAGATCCTAATGAAGACTGAACAATGTGAATCTATCAGATCCTAATGAAGACTGAACAGTGTGAATCTTTATCAGATCCTAATGAAGACTGACCGATGTGAATCTTTATCAGATCCTAATGAAGACTGATCAAGTGTATATATATCAGATCCTAATGAAGACTAACCGATGTGAATCTATCAGATCCTAATGAAGACTGATCAAGTGTATATATATCAGATCCTAATGAAGACTAACCAATGTGAATCTATCAGATCCTAATGAAGACTGACCAATGTTAATCTTTATCAGATCCTAATGAAGACTGATCAAGTGTATATATATCAGATCCTAATGAAGACTGATCAAGTGTATATATATATCAGATCCTAATGAAGACCTACCAATGAGAATCTTTATCAGATCCTAACTGAGACTTATCAAAGCTCATCAACTTGTCCCACTCAGACATTTTCTGAGCGGGTTTTTTTCTTAGAAACTTATCCTTAACTGACAAACACAGTTTATAATATTAAGAAACACACTTACTAGGCTAAATACTGAATTCCTCATATATCAGTCTGTTTGTTTGTTTAAGAGTAAAGTTGCATTGGGGTATCTACTGAGTCCACCATAAGGAATCAAACCACAGATTTTATCGTTGTAAGTTCATAAAAACCAGGCATCATATATATGAGTTAATGAGCTGGGTTTAGTTCTATGACACTAATATACGCCATTTTGTATACTTAATGAAACTACAGTGTTTAGACCAATGGAATTTGGACACAAGTTTGTTCTTCATTTGTTACTGGTTGTTTTTTGAAAAAAAATTAAACAATTATATTTTATAATATGGTTTCTATATTCCTCCACTCAGTTGTTAATTTTCATATGTATAAATAAGATAAAATAACTGAAATAAATTATGACCTGTTACATTTAAGAAAAACTAACACTTAATTACCCATATCATAGTCACTTACAAGAAACCTGGCATTATCAAAGTGGTTCTACTATAAACCATTTCTATTAACTAGAATGATATTAAAATATATTGGTAACATACTGTTGTAATAAAAAAGTTGTTTAACTATGAAGTTGAGAAGTTTAGTTTCCATTTCTTATTTCATAAAAGTTTTATCTTTAAATTAGGATGGAAGAAACATATACTGAAACGTTTTAGGTTTGAAGAAACTTATTATATAATTATATTTAGTTTTTCTGCAAATCCTAAACACAATTACATTACAAGTCTTTTCAATACTTTCACACACAACTTCTGCTTGTGTTAATTATACAATACTAAATATGACTGTATATTAAGATCATTTTCCTCCCTCCACCTCCCAGTTGCTCAGCAGTAAGTCTGAAGGCATATAGTGCTAAAAATCCAGTTTACATAACAGTGGTAGGATCAGAACAAATATCCCATTGTGTAGCTTTGAGCTTAACAACAAATAAACAACCTTTCTCTTTGCTTACTAAATTAGTAAACCCCACCCAAAATAAAGATCCTTCCTTTCTTACTCCTGACTAAATTAGTGAACTCCACCCAAAATAAATATCCTTCCTTTCTTATTCCTGACTAAATTAGTGAACTAAACCCAAAATAAATATCCTTCCTTTCTTATTCCCGACTAAATTAGTGAACTAAACCCAAAATAAATATCCTTCCTTTCTTACTCCTGACTAAATTAGTGAACTCCACCAAAATAAATATCCTTCCTTTCTTATTCCCGACTAAATTAGTGAACTAAACCCAAAATAAAGATCCTTCCTTTCTTACTCCTGACTAAATTAGTGAACTAAACCCAAAATAAAGATCCTTCCTTTCTTACTCCTGACTAAATTAGTGAACTAAACCCAAAATAAAGATCCTTCCTTTCTTACTGCTGCCTAAATTAGTAAACCCCATCCAAAATAAAGATCCTTCCTTTCTTACTCCTGACTAAATTAGTGAACTAAACCCAAAATAAAGATCCTTCCTTTCTTACTCCTGACTAAATTAGTGAACCCTACACAAAATAAAGATCCTTCCTTTCTTA